GCATCTAAACTTACTGTCCCTAGCTCACTGTCTCAAGTGGGCCTCAGTCTGCTCACCCTTCCTCTCAGGATGAGGGTCTCTTCCCTGCAGCAGCCTTCCTTCTGGCTCTGCTCTCTTGGAAGAAAGAACAACTCTTCTTCTGTACCAGCTCTTTCATTATAAGTCCCCTTTCTCTGTGATTGGCTAAAATTGGCGCCAAAACCTCTCAGGGACTTCTGGGAGTTGTAGGCCTAGCCTCCTCTGACTGCTACTCAGGTTCCCTGGGCCTGCTAGGCCTCTAGTTGCACAGCCCAGATCATGACAGTGGCATGCCTGCTTCTCCCCTCCTCCACTTTCCTCTCACTTCTACCCTGAACGATACAACCAGCTGACAGAGAGTTATGACCCAAGGTCATCAAACAAACTTCATGGCAAAGCCCGGAACTGAACCTGGGTTTCCCAGATCCTAGTGTGATACTCTATGCATGCTGGGTCTCCACGGTGAGTGTCTGGAGCCTATGTGTGGACAACACAACACACACACACACAGACTGCACTTCAAACCACCAATGAACTGCATGGAGACTGTGGGTACCGCCTACCCCCACAAGCCCACTCTCCTCTTCTATGCATTCAGTACATGTTATACACACAGGACTAGAGCTGTGCCTAATAGCTAAAGGCTGTGCTTTCCACAACACTGATGACATGGTAAAGGACAGGATATTTGTTGTGTCCGCTGACCGCCACCGGAGGTCAGCGCACACTCCTGAGCTTCAGTCCGGTACAACAATGGGGACTAGGATTCTAGTCCCTCCACTGGGGGAACCAATGGGACCTTGGCGGGAGATTCAAACCCACCAATGGGACCCAGGGGATGCCCCTGGTTTGTGTATATAGTTGGCCTGCCGGCCGTTAGTCTTTAGTCTTGTTGTGTACCAGTAAAGCTATACTGATCGCTACATCAGTCTCCATGCTTTCTTTATGCGTCTAACCCACTACACTTCAATATTAATAGGATTCAATTCAAGAGAGATCCAGAGAGAAATTTCTGCAGGAAGAGACTTGACCCTAGAGAAAGCAATAAAAACAGCAAGAGCCATTAAGATATTCTGTGTACAAATAAAGGTCCTGCCGAGCAAAACCCAAGGTGTGTGTGCCTGAGGTTAAGGCAGAAAGCGAAAGTCACAGACAAGCAAGACTAAAACAGTAGGTTGCTACAGAAAATTACTTTTGAGAAGCATTTAAAAAACCCGCAGAAAATATGGGAAGAAACATAGCAGGCTTGTGAATTTCTTTTCTTATTAATCACAAGAATTTCAAAAATGGGGTGTTTCATAGTTAAAGTAATTAATATGGAACTGTTTCTTTCCTTATTGCAGTCTTGCCCCTCCTAGACTGAACTGGTGTCACTTACACAAGGCAGACCCCATTTTCCTAGTTAGGGCATAAACTATGTTCCTTAGGCGGAGGGGGAGAGAGAAGGGCTCTGGGCTCTCTTGACTGACTGCAAGCTACAGCTACTAGCATTACATTGTATGAGGTGTTCCAATCCTGAAGTATACGGGATGGAATGTTGCCTTCCTCTCTCCTCCCAATGATTACACTGCTGTGCAAAATTTCCCCTTTCAGTCTGTGCTGCACTGAGCACCTGCTGAGAGCCAGTTTGGTGTAGTGGTTAAGTGCGCGGACTCTAAACTGGGAGAACCAGGTTTGATTCCCCACTCCTCCACTTGCACCTGGCTGGATGACCTTGGGAAAGCCATAGTTCTGATAAGAGCTGTTCTTGAAAAAGAGCAGTTTCTGTCAAGAGCTCTCTCAGCCCCACCCAACTCACAGGGTGTCTGTTGTGGGGAGGGGAAGGGAAAGGAGTTTGTAAGCCGCTCTGAGACTCCTTTGGGTAGTGAAGGGCAGGGTATAAATCCAATCTCTTCTTCTTCCTCCTCCTCTTCTTCTCCAAACCTTATCCCTCGTCAAAGCAAACCTTCCTCAAGGTCCTCCTGCTACTACCTGCTTACCCGGATATCTTATCCTTCTTGTGTCCTTCTTGGCAGTATGGATCTTATAGTTGCCAACCCGCAGGTGGAACCTGGAGATCTTTTGGAATGACAACTGATCTCTGGACTATAGAGATAGGTCCCCTGGAGGAAATGGCTGCTTTCAAGGGTGGACTCTGTGCCATTGTGCCCCACTGAGGTCCTTCCTCTCCCTCAGCTCCACCCTCCCTATGCCCCACCCCCTCTCCACCAAGTCTCCAGGAATGTTCCAACTCAGAGTTGCAACCATACATGCCACTATTCTTCAAGCTAATTGGATGTGGTGCCAGATTCCCTTACCACATGCTGCTGGAATCTTTCTTATCAATTGTCCCATAGACTTTAATGTTAAAAATGGGTGCCCGTCATTGCCCAAAAAAGGGGGACCCCCTTACTCTATCTGTCTGAAATTTGGTCATGTGGATATCCCAGGGGAATGTTACAATTCCTTCTGGAAGATGATGACGGTACAAACCATTGAAACTAATGGCAATGAAATAATAATGATGTAGAACCAGGGCCTTTTTCTGGATTGGCTTTCCCAGGTGCCTCGCAGCTGCGGGGCGCCTGGGGAACCCGAGGAGGTGAGGCAGTTTAAACTGCCTTCCCTCGTTGGATTGGCTTGGCTTCCCCAGGTGCCCCGTGGCTTGCGAGGCGCCTGGGGAACCTGGGGGGGGGGGCTGTAGGCGTGACCAACTTGGAAGCCAGCCGGAACTCTGTTCCTGAACTCTGTTCCTGTGTGTTTCTGCCCAAAAATAGCCCTGTGTAGAACTATAAAAATGACATAACAATATCAAAACAATAATGAAACTAAACCATATGAAACAATTCAATGACAAAACAGTCCCTTTTGGAATTAATAATAAAAATGAAAGAAATGAAACAAACTCTCATGCATAAGTCTAAAACATAGTAAATGTGGGAAGTGCTCTGTAAGGGAAAATTTTTTGCCATAGTTGTAAAAATAGGAATAACAAGGGGGGACCCGCGATACTCGTGGGGGGGGCAGTCTCTCTCTTTTCCCCGTTCTCTCTCTCCCCCCCCAGTCTCTCGCTCTCTCTGTCTCTCTCTCCCCCCTTCTCTCTCTTCCCCCCCAGTCTCTCTCTCTCTCTGTCTCTCTCTCCCCCCTTCTTTCTCTTCCCCCCAGTCTCTCTCTCCCCCCTTCTCTCTGTTCCCCCGTCTCTGTCTTTCCCCCGTTCTGTCTCCCCCCCCAAGAACAGACCCTCGGAGGCCTGAAGGGGCGGCGCGAGAACCGTTGCACTTGGCTGCCCCTCTCCCGCTCCGTGGGACTTGCGAGGGACTTCGGGCGGGCCGGGAGGCAGGGAGGGAAGACGCGCCGTTCTCCCCCCAGCCTCTCCCCCCCTGTCTCTCTCCCCCCCCTTCTCTCTCTCCCCCCAGTCTCTCTCTCCCCCGCCTTCTCTCTCTTCCCCCCCCCAGTCTGTCTCTCTCTCTCTCTCTTTCCCCCATTGCAGCGTGGCCCGCACGGCTAACATCCGCCGGGCATCGCCGGGCTGTCTTCTTCCCCTCACCGTTCCCCCTCCCCCCTGACTTTCTCTCTCTTTCCTTCTCTTTTTCCCCCGTGAACCGAGGCCTGCGCGGCTTACATCCGCCGGACCTCGGCAGTCTCTCTTCCCCTCCCCGACTTTCTTCCCCCTCCTCACCTGTCTCTCGCCGCCGCCGCTGCTGGGCCTCTCCGGCCGTTCAGTTCCTTTCCCACGCACGGAAGCCGTTCAGTTCCTTTCCCATGCATGTGCACGGAACGCTCTGGCACTTTCGGGGGGATTTAAACATCCCCCGAAAGTTTTTTCAACATTTAGCATTTTTGTGCACACGTGGGGACCGCCCCACATGTGCACAAACCTCTCCCTCCCCCCCAAGTGCCCCCGATGTCCGGATCTAAGGATCCGCACAGAGGAGGCCAGTTCAGAATTAGATATATAGATTTTCCACAGGTATGTAACTGCAGAGAATAGAAATGTGGAAGGTTCATGTGGGGATATCAGATGCCTGGAAAAAGAATGCCCTGTCCCTTTAATCGAGGCTTAATCACAGGTTATGTTATCTATCTCCGTGCCATGAAAATCTTCAACTGCCCATTTCCGTACATTAAGTCGCTGTTAAAGGGACAGGACATTTTTCTCCTAAAGGCTTTCCAAATCAGTCAGGGATGTGTAAGCAGTATAATCACATAGCTAGCCAGGTCTGGCTAGATAAGGATTTTGATGATGATGATGATGAAGATGATGATGAAGATGATGATGAAGATGATGAAGATGATGATGATGATGATGATGATGATGATGATGATGATGATGATGATGAATGCTGTAACAAAAGTCCTGTGATGAAGTCAAATCAAAGTGAGGAATTTCCTTTCTGCCCTCTGTTTTGACTCTGTTTTGAAACCTTAGTCTGGTAAATCAGGTAAATATACTTCCAGCGACGTGTTTCACAGAGACCAGAGGTTATTACAAAATTTGGTCTGCTTTTTGGACTCGCCCCTTATTACAGTATTAATATTCCAATTAGGATCAAATATTGTAGAAGCAAATAAAATCTTAAGGTATTCTCTCCCCACCCCCCAGCAACTTAAAGGCTATTTAGAATGTTAAATGCCTATTTGTGAAAGGAAACAGAATTCAAGAGTCATTTAGATGGTTTGGCAGAGTGGAAGAGTTTATGGATGATGGGCTATAGAAGATCTTCACAGGCCATAGCAAACTCTGATTTTATTAGAAAATACTATAATAAAATCAACTGTGTTGGATGCTTTATTTGAGTGACCATCTGACCAGCTTCATATTGTAGAAGCAGTAAGCTTAATCCATAAGTAAAAACCATATTGGAAAAGATCCAGACTCAGGTACAGTAGAACAAACAAAACGTGGAATGGAGTTCTAGACTAATTACTTGGCTGCCATAGGGGACACAGAGCTGTCCAAAATCAGGGCTACTTCCACTCCCTGTTTGAGGCAATTAAAAAACTTACTTCAATGAATGGGGCACCATCTGCTCTTCATGTTCAGTCCAGTCCACACTACTGACCTTAAGACTATTTGTCTCTTGCAGGTGGGCAGGTTGCAGTAACCCAATTTCCCCCCCGAATTCTTGTTTTGTCTTCAGATTACATTGTTTCCGGTGGATGGATTTGATTTTGAAACACAAGAAGAGAATAGCAGCCATCAAAATAACGAACATTCCCAGGGGGTAGAACAAAAGGAAATGGAAGAATGATGCAGAAGAACAGATCTCTGTAGATTCAGTTGATACTGCAAAACACAAAACCAAACAGCAATTCATTCTTCTAATGTTCTCTTCCCTATATAATTTTCAAGAAGCCTGAAGACTGTTAGCAAAATGGATTTTCATGGTTTTTTAAATCAGCCACAGTACAAGTTGCGCGAGCTGTCAGTTGAAGAATCTGAATTATTTACTGTTTAGATCACCTGTATAATAGTGGGCGCACACAGTGTGACTTTTTGTCAGCTATGCTGCCATGAAGGTTGGGGAGGTTGGTCGGTGTCTGGTTCATTGCTATTGCTTTCCTTTCAAGTTAATTGCTACTGCATTCCTTTCTGTGCTTTCTCTGCTGTGCGCTGAAACACTTATCTATACAGATGTGCAGGAGGATGTTGTAGTGTCTGGGATTACCCTAGGTGCCGTGGGAGAATGTTCGTTCTCAGCTTTAGCTACCTAACGGTCTCTAAGCCTTAGCCCGCGTGCGGGAGGACGCCTAATTGGCCAGTACTGTGGGGGGGGTGCATACGAATACCCTATATCCTATTATGCCCATGGGACCGCCGCCATTCTTAACAGTGACTATGTTACTGCATCTATAGCTCTGCAATAAAAGTATGTGTGTATTTCGTTGTTGGCTGTGGGTTCTGACACTTTTTCATTCTGAAGAGGCATCTGCATTGCAAAGTTTTATCATCATTTTGTAAAAAATGCTCCAGGTGGTCAGCTCCTTACCGCGTAATTGCCAAATGCCTACCTGAAACACTTCCTGATATAACTTATACTCAAATTGTGGAAGGATTACACCCACATTGACTGGACCTTGTATCCATTCATGCTTTGGTCTGAGGGGCAGTCTTAAGAAACTGTGGCCCTAAGCTAAATTCCATAACTGACCCACAGATCACTGCCCTCCCACTTGGAGTCAAGCAAGGAGTGGCCCTCACCCCGTGTAAGATGGGCAGGAGCCCCTGCTGCGGCTAGATGGGGCAGGTGCAATCAGCAGCAGGAGTCTGCTCTTATTTTTCTCCCTCTTTTAAATGTGGGTCTGTAGGCAATAGGGACAGCTGCCCCTATTGCCCATTGGCTAAGACCACCCCATCGACTCTAAATAGTAACACAACACACTTACTGCCCTATCTCACATTGCCTTATGATCTGAACGGAACCAGTTTATATGTTATTAATCTGCTCCGGTTTGGGTGAATACGAGGCCATGCAAGCAGTATGAATTGTGGGAAGAGTATGCAGAGAAGCAGCAGTGGCAGCTTCCCTGAATAGGAACTTCCACAATCCATCCAACTCAGGAAAGCTGCAGCTATGACATCCATGTACACATTTCTGCCCCAAATTATATCTCTTATATTAGGAGATTACTCATGTGAAACTTTATATGAACACATCCACATTGGCTTTATTTATTCTTTTCTGTAGTGATGGTGACTTCAGGAAATATTATTGCTTCTCTCTACTGTCTTTGCAAAACAGAGGGCTACAATGCGGTTTTCCTTTTCATCTGCACTCTCACTCTGCACTGACCTTCCCCTACTGCTGCTCTAAGCCTCTTCCTGTTGTCTGCCCCTCTCTTAGCCCTGTATAAATCGATTGTCCCTGCTCATTCCTAGGCTTCAGTGCAACTATCTGAGCAGCACAAGGAAAAATACCAAGATCTGCCGTCTGCTGCCACAGCCTATGAAAAGTTGTTCCAGGGAATGGCCTACCTTCACCTTACTGTAAATTCAAGATACAGCATGCTGTTAAGTTTAGCATTTATGTAAATAGGGAGTTGCCCCAAAAGACCAACACAATCACATTTTAGAAAGGGTAAAGGTAAAGGTAAAGGTTCCCTTGCTCGAAAGCCAGTCAAGTCCGACTCTAGGGTTGCGGTGCTCATCTCCGTTTCAAAGCCGAAGAGCAAGCGCTGTCCGAAGACATTTCCATGGTCATGTGGCCGGCATGACTAAACACCAAGGCGCACAGAACGCTGTTACCTTCCCACCAAAGTGGTACCTATTTATCTACTTGCAATGTCTTGCTTTCGAACTGCTAGGTTGGCAGGAGCTGGAACTAGAGACGGGAGCTCACTCCGTCATGCGGCACACTCGGGTCTCGAACTGCTGAACTACCGACCTTCCACAGCCTGCAGTTCAGCGTCTTAACCACTTGAGCCACCGCAGCTCAAGGGGTAAGAAGGGGTAACTTCTCTCAAATCAGAGGGCATGTGAAGGAGAAACTGAAAGGAAAGGTAAGGAGGGTCAAATCTCTTTGGGAAGCTTGGAGACTATTTAAAACTACAACACTTAGGGTTGCCAGTTCCAGGTCGGGAAACACCTGGAGATGTGAGGGGTAGGGCCTGAGGAGGCATGGGTTTGGGGCATAAGGTGGCCATTCTCTGCAGGTGAAGTGATCTCTGTCGCCTAGAAACCAGGTGTAATACCGGGAGATCTCCAGCCACCACCTCAAGGTTGGCCACCCTAACAATACTGGATACTCAGATAAAATGTATACTCATGGGCACTCAATGAAATTAATGAGCAGTAGGCTTAGAACAGGTAAAAGGAAGAACTTCTTCACCCAAAGAGTAATTAACATGTGGAATTCACTGCAGCAGGAAGTGATGGCAGCTACAAGCATAGACAGCTTCAAGAGGGAACTGGATGAACATATGGAGTAGAGGTCCATCAGTGGCTATGAGCCACAAGGTATAGCTAGAACACTATGTCTGGGGCAGGGATGCTCTGTATTCTTTGAGCTTGTGGGGCAACAGTGGGAGGGCATCTGGGGTTCTGGCCCCACGGGTGGACCTCCTGATGGCACCTGGGTTTTGGCCACTGTGTTACACAGTGTTGGACTTGGATAGGCTATTGGCCTGATCCAACATGGCTTCTCTTATGTTCTAACATCAGTTAAAGTCTATGTAGCACAGTGGCTTTTAGACAAAATATCAACCAAACTACCAAAATAGTAAAGCTATAAAGTCACTTTTGTCCAACAGAGAATTCTCCAAAGGGCTAACAACTCTGAACTCAAATGCCCAGCCTGAAACTTCAGCATGTTTCCTTATTTCGTCCTAGAGTCCAGCTGTTCCACGATGCTACCCCAATGGAGCTTTGCCACAGAGGGTACATAAGCAAGAACATTGAAGAAGCAGGGATCCAATAAATCCATGACACATACAGGCAGTGTTCATGAGGCATCTGGTGTGTTCATGATACACACACAGAGTACCTAGGGTTGCCAACCTCCAGGTGGTGGCTGGAGATCTTCTGGGATTACAACCAGTGCTCCCTCTAAACTGTGGAGTCTGGTGAGCAAAAAATTCTACTTTGTGAGCGACGGGCATTAAAGTTGTGAGCGAGCGATTTGGCTGCTGCATCAATTTGTCTGCTCTGGAGCCCTCCTTCCTGAGCAAAGACAAAATTCTGTGAGCTGGAGGTTAAAAAACTGTGAGCTAGCTCACACTAACTCAGCTTAGAGGGAACACTGATTACAACTGATCTCCAGGCAACAGAGATCAGTTCTCCCGGAGGAAATGGCCTCTTTGGAAGGCGGACTCTATGGCATTCTACCCCACTGAAGTCTTTCCCCTCCTCAGGCTCCACCCCCCAAATTTCCCAGTATTTCTCAGCTTGAAGCTGGCAACCCTAATAAGTACCCCATTTCACCGTTTATACCAGCCATATAGACCTCCACGTGTATCATTGGTTCTATGTGCATTTGCTTCTTTAGGGATGGGTGGGTTTTGTTTTTTTTTGCACACCTGGCATCACTTTTAAATTGGGTCTAAGACTGAGAGGTTAAACAGATGTGACAAGGGATCCCCCTGATCTGTTTTCCTGACGTTTCTCCCCACCACTACCACCACCACTATAAAGCAATTATAGGGTCTTGAGTGGCCTTGAGGAGGTGGTGGTGGTGAAAAGTGCTGTCAAGTCAGGCATGACTTATGGCAACCATTTATGTGGTTTTCAGACCAAGAGACATTCAGAGGTGGTTTGCCATCGCCTGCCTCTGCATCATGACCCTGGGTTTCCTTGGTGGTCTCCCTTGGTGGCCAACCCTGCTTAACTCCCAAGATCTTACGAGTCTGGGCTAGCCTGGGCCATCCAGATCAGCGCAGAGGAGTGGTAATGGGAAATACATCAGCAAGATATAGGTGACTTCCATTTTCCTGCAGCTCCTCTACTAGCAGCATGTGCAGGGAGGGCACTGGAGGGGGGTGTTGAAATTTCCTCACCAGCCTCACTGTTTTCAGTGTGTTCAGGCTCTCCCTCTCACCATTTAAGCTGCACTGAGGTTTAATAAAATGTTGAGAGAGCTGATCACAGATCTCCATCCCATTTGCTTGTAGCCCTGAATGTCCAAGATGAAGAGAGATGTGCATTTAGATGCTGGATGACAATTACCTGTAGGAAGTACCGTAAGTTCGCTGTATCCCGATCGAACCGATGCTTGTTGAACTTGAGCAGTGCTGCAGTTGACTGCCCATTCTTCCACTTGGCAGTAGAACAGTCCAGAATCACCCACCTCCACATCTTGTATTGTCAGATGAAAGTCACCAGTAGAAGGGCAGTTGGGGCGCAACCTCCTTGCCATCTTCACATCGCCATACTCAATGATGCCATTGTCTTTTATTTTCAGCAGGGTTTCTGTACTGGAATGGATTGATACTTTGAACCAACTGATGGAGAAGTGAGAGGTAGGGCGTATTTGGCTCTGGAGGAGACATTTCAGAGTCACATCCTCATTTTCAGTGATGGTGATGCTGTGGTTTGTACTTTCAATGTGTAGTTTATTGTCTGGTAGTAAACAGGGAAATATTTACTGGGGATATAATTTCAGACTTAACAAGACTCAGCAGATTAGTACACATTTATCTACACCAGTGCCTCCCACTCCTCCACATACATCCCAGGACATACCAGAGATAGGTGACCTAGGGCACACCTTATATCTTCATGGAGTTACTGGATTTGCCTCTGGGCTTAGTTCTATTGCAGCAGTACATTGCTAAACAGTTACTAAATTCCCAGCAATGCTCTGTACTATGTCAAGACAACATTATGATGAAGCTGTGCTTGCAAGTTTCTGCTTCAAATGGCCAGCCTCGAAAAAACACTGGGGAATCTCCCACATGTATCATTGACTTTGCAGTGAATGTCTGGCATACAAAGAAGAAGAGAAGACCCTGAAGGGGGCAACAAGAGGACAGATAGGATAGTGAGGTCAGCACCTTCTGTCCTTTAATTGTCATTCTTTGTCTGTCTCCAGATTGCTACTCTTAGGGCAATTTCCTCCTTCTTGGAAGTTCCACACTTAGTCTCCCTCTCTCTCAGCTAGAGATGTAGTTAGGACCCTAACTTTCTCTCCTCTGTCCTATCAGGTATGCCAGTTCCCAAATAAATCTTTATCTTCTCTTTAATCAGGTTGTGCACCAATTACTCTGCCAACAAAAGGTTTTGCTTTCACGTTCTTTGTGATGCTGGCATGGGATTTAGGAGATCTCTGGAGAAGGGTAGGGTGACCTCCTGAGAACAAAATATGCACTGAGTATTGGTGTGCTAATGAATGCATTTGTGGACCTTAGCATGAGGGAATAACACTCCTCCCTCCATTGCTCTGATCAGTTTGGTAGATCCTTGCAGCTGAATGGTGGTACTGCGTGAGCGCTAAAATGATGGTACTGCATGGAGCTGTGACCACTAAGGATACCATCCTGATTATGTCATCTGTTCCCTTGTTAGTTATTGTGGAGAGCACTTATGTTGTATTGAATGTTTTTAAAATGCAGTTTTAATGTTTTATGTATTGGGCATTGGCCCCATCTGTACGCCGCCCTGAGCCCGTTTACGGGGAGGGCGGGTTATAAATTTAAATAAATAAATAAATAACTCTTTTTTTAAAAAAAAAAAGCCAGAAGATCCAGTAATGGAATTCCTGTAGAAAAGTCTGGCAATTAAATGGATTGGGTCCTCCAAATATTTCCACCAACAGTGACATTTTCCTCTGACAAAAGATGAAATCTTCTGCTAGCTGAAGAAATCTTTTCCATTGGCTCTTGCTTTGAATGAAGAAACCACAATTAGGGCAAGAGCATCCAACCCATGGCCAGAAGGGAAGCGTAGCTTTTCTAATTAATATTGCGAGTGTCAATTAAAGATAGGTAGTGATCCACATGTGAAGTTCTTCTACCTCCCAGTATCTCCACTCCTTGCAGAATGATGTATGAAAAAAACAGTTCTCACAACATACTTCTATATACTCTTATCAAATCCTCTTTTTATGAGCAATGCCACTCAATCACATTTTAGTTACTTTACCTGAAGGCTTGAAATTCACAGTAGTTCTTCCTGATTCTGTCTTTCCAAGGTTGCACCAGCCACTTTCCACTGACCAGATCCATTCCTCTACTACACAGTAATATGTGCCCCTGACATCATAATCTACTGATAGAATAGAGAGCTGATACAGGCGACTGGAGACCTTCTCACTATGAAATCTGGATTTCTTCTGAGGAGAACTGAAAGCTTCCCCATATTCCACTATGTTACTGTAATTGGTTGCCAAAATCAGCAGTGGGACTGCATCCTCTGGAGACAATAGCTGAAAGTACCAAGAGACTCCTAACTGAGATTCCTCTTTGCTCAATGAGATGATTTCACATTTAATTTCTGTAGCATCATTCATAGAGATTTCCAGGGCCTTC